ACAGCCTTCAGCCCAAGCACTCCCTCTGCTTACTGTATCCAGCAGCTCAGCAGTCTTGTCCCACTCCTTTCTAGATAGCTTGTGCAGTCACACAGCAGCACGGTGTCCTGGGCACCCAGCCATGTGGAGCAGGGGCTGAGCAAAGGGGCTGAAGCCCTCCAGGGCTGTAGGGGCAGTTCTGATGAACTAGGCTGCTGCCGGCGTGTTTGGTCATTCAGCATGTTCAGCACAGCCATGCTGTGGGCTCTCTGCTGGGTCACCTGCCTCTTTTCATGTAGGGTGATGTCATTAGGACACTGTGCCAGGCGTGGATGGGCAGGGAGCTGGGCCTGGAGCTGGAGGGGTGAGCACAGGACTCCTGGGTTCTTGTCCTGAGCCAGCTGCTGCCTCGCTGTAGGTACTTTGCCTTGCCAGGTAGGTCAGTTAGGGCCAATTTTTTTTTTCTTTTTTAGTAGAGGGGTATGAACTGGCGCTGGTGCCAACATGACATGTTGGGGCCGAACTTCAGGAAAGCCTTGGAGCATCTATCTGAAGCTCAAGCTGCAGCACTTGCCAGCTAGGCTCTTGGGAAGGGTCTCAAACCATGGGCACCCACCTGCCTCTCAACCAAAGAAAGCGCTAGGGAGGCAGGGGGTGACTTGTCCAGACCAAGGCACAGAAGGGTCTGCTCATTCTCCCCTCAGATGGTAAAAATGCAACAAGGCTTTTCTCTCCAGGGACACCCGTAGCCCAGGTATATCTGTCTGCTTCTGCAGGTCAGCGCCCTGGCAGGCTGTGCCTGCTGGCACCTGCAAGCTGGCCAGCGGGCTGCTGGTGGCCACACTGACCACCAGCCCCAGCGGGTGGGATAAAGGGGTGCCACAGAAGTGTTCCCTCATGGCTCTGCTTCATGTAGATGAGGAGGAATGGAATTTGGATGGGGCTGGGCGTTCCCGTATAGCGATTCCCTCAGGCAGAATCTGGCTCTGATGACTGTTCTGAGTGGGGAATAAATACCAGAGGAGTTACTCACGGCACACTAGGGCATGATGTAGCAACTCCTCGCTGGTTCCCCCCACCCTGCAGCCAAAGTTCCTCCTGTGATCTCCTGGGGAAAGTCCCAGCCCCCCCATTCTCCCTTGCCACCCCCAGAGACCTTCCCTACCCTTGCTGGAGCTTTCCAAAGGCAGGAGATGAGCTGGGGCTCTGGGGGTGAGGAGAAAGGACAGAACAACCTGCTGTGCTGGAGGGGGTCAGCTGTCCCCCTAGTCTTCTACACTGAGCCTGGTGATGGGTACCAGGCCAGGGATTGAGAGGGCATCAGCCCAGGGTATCTATATTTGGCCAGTCATGCATCTGGCTTCAAATTTTGGAGAAAAGCATGATGATCAGCCCAGCTAAGGTCTCTCTATTGCCTTTTTGGTGATCACACTCAGGTCAGGCCAGGTTTTCCCATTGGTTTCCACAGCCACACGGGCAAAAAGTGAGATTTAGGTTTTTTTGAAGGAGCTGAGAAGCTCTCCAGCTCCTGGGACTAGGGGGTTCAGACTCTTAGAAAATCACCACATTGTGCATGACTGAAGTGCCTCCCCTGTGTAGCAGCGACCCCTTGTCATGGAGGACTCTAGAGCTTGGGCCAAAATTCTTAGTGAAACTGCGATAAATTTCACCTATTTTTGACAGCATGGACTGTCTTTAGAAGACTTTGCTCCTATTTTCATGGCAATCAAATGAAAGAAATGTCCCCCTTCTGAAAACTTTTGGAACTACTTTAGCTGTTTTCCTCTCTGATGGAAGAAGGGATAGTATTTTTTCCAATCCCTGAATCAACTCTGATGAAAATCTCCTCCATCATATGTCTGGGCTCTTCCAGCTTGACATTCACATCTCTCTTGTCCACATCTCACGGTGCTTGGGTGAAGCATCTTGAATCTTCCCATTTCAGCACTGGACCCTCCATGTGATGCTCTGTGAGTAGGGGGATAACACACAAGAAACTGCAAGGCCAGCTCGGCTTAGCAGGACTGTCTGGCTCAGGATGTCCCTCCGAGCAGATGGGTGAGAAAATGGGACTCCTTGGTGGGACTTGTGACAGACCTATCTGTGGGGAAGGGCACAAGTCAGCCAGGCAGAGGGACACTGAAGGAGCCCCAGGGACAAGCCAGTTATATCAAGTGCCCAGAGTGAAAGGGTGCAAATTCCCCTCCCCAGTAATCTGCCGTGGCCACAACAACACGAAGCCACACATTACCTCTTTCCCCAGGCCAAGGCACAACGCACAGCGGGTTTCTTTCCTGGGGAGGAGGGAGGCCACACTCACACTCTGTGGCAGAGAGGTGGGAAGGGCAGGTTGGGAAGCACAGACCCTGGGGAATCAAGTCCTGCCAGGGAATTGGCTGTTGAGGCTTGGGCAGTGGTCACGGAGATAGGAGGTGTCCCCCCACACTTTCATGCCTGGCAGAGTGGTTGTTAGGATGGCTGCTTGCTGGCTGGTTACCAGCTAGAGAAGCATGGGGACACTTTCTTTGTAACCACAGGCAGTCTGGCACTGTGCCTGTGGCTCCCAGACATTCAGCAAGGGAAGCCGCAGAGCAGATCATTGAGTGCACCATTGGGAGCCAGCCGGCCACAGTGGGCAATGAGCTCCTGTGACCTGGGAGCCCTGCAGCATGCTGCGGGCACCCGGTGCGTGATGGCTATACCGCTGACACCCAGTGCTTGCATCCCCGAGCACACGACTGCAGAGCCTTGGCACAGGGCTGAAAGATCCCCAGCTCAAGGGACCTTCTTATTTTATTCCCCTGAATCTCTCATGGCCCTAGAACTGTGGGTCTTCACAGAATCACACGGTGCTGGGCACTGCTCAGCTCAGTGGCCAGGCACAGAACATCTTCAGAGATACTTGGATCCCGCTTGCTCCCCTGCTTGTCTCTGTCCGGTCAGGTGAGCCATGTGCTCCAGGATCCCGCTGCTGCAGCACAAGTGGCCTGGGATTAACAAGTAGGGAGCAAAGGCGCCCACGTGGCACGAGCTCACTGTGAGTCCGTCATTCCCTGCATCAGCCCCCAAGATCACAGGATTCAACACAGCAGCCCCTCTGAGGTGGGAAGCAAAAGGGCTTACAAGTGCCAAAACATGATGGATGTGCAGGGATCCCTGCTTCGTCTGGGGCAGCATGGCCCTGGGACACAGGGCTTTGGCCAGAGACACTGGGGCAGCTTAGTGTGGTGTTTGGGCAAGAGAGAAAGGTAAAGGGCTTTGGGGATTTAGAAAAAAGGCCCAGTTGCTTATAATGGATATTGGGGTAAAAGGGTAGGACCCGACGTGGAAACAGGGCTCACTGAAATGCTGGAACCTGCCCTGACAGAGCTGACATGCCCTATGGGAGCCCAGGTGAATGCAGGTCCTCAGGTCCCTCCACATCAAGCACAGACCCCATCCCTGTGAGGTGCCTGCCTGCTCTCCCTGCCCTGCCATCCACACCAAGGCTGCTTAACCCAGCGGGGCCCTGGGCACGGGCAGGTAAGAGGGACAGAGCCCTGCAGACGCTGCAACGCCACACGCGAGCTGAGCGCTGGCAGCTCCCAGGCTTCCCTCCAGCACCCTCCTCCTCTCCTGACCCCCTCAAGCACAGCGGGCACTGGGGGCCCGCACGGCGTCTACGAGGTCGTCCTGAAGGGGTGAACCAAGCGGTGCCTCCACGCGCACCCAGTGCAGGGAGCCGTGGAGCTGGCTGACTCGGGGTCTGGAGCCCAGCCAGCGGGGTGAGCAGAAGCCGCTGGGAGCCCCTGGCAGGGAGGGGGCCATGCCTGGGCCACGGGCACGGCCTGGCCGCGTGCGGGCACCCAGCAGAGTGGAAGCCAGATACTCCATGCACCAAGAAGCGTTATGAAATGAGGATGCGGGGCCCCTCCCCGCTGGGCCCCGGGCGCTCACTTCCTTCCAGCCTGGTATTTTCCTCCTCGTTTTTTCTTTTTCTTTTTTTTTTTTCCTCTTTTTCTTTTACATAGCCCCAAGGGGCGCGAAGCTGTAGGAGGAGCAGGGAAGTTATCAGCCAGGAGATACCAGCAGCATGATTCACCGCGCAGCCCGGGCGGGCTGCCAGCCGCGTGGTGCCCTCCCCTCCACTGGGCACTGGGCGCTGAGGGCAGTTGGCAGCCGGGGGGTCCCCACCACCCGGCCCAGCCTCGCTGCCTTCACCCCTTCACGCTCCGCGACCCAACCATCTCCCCCAGCCACCCCACAAGGATCCCCGTGGGCCCTCCACCTCCTGCCCCTCTGCAAATAGCGCCTGGGGCTCTAGTTATGGCCTGGCAGCAGAGCACAGGAGAGAGTCTCGCACAGGTGGGTAGGTGGCACCCAGGATCCCCCTCCATCCTTCGGGACCCTGTGGGAGCAGAGGAACATGGCAGGCTGGAAGACGCGAGTGCTGAGCCCCAAAATACCTCATGCTGTCTCCAATCCACTTTTATTCACAATCAGGAAATAACTTACCATACAATAACACAGGCACACGCAGCATGGCTGGGCATCCTCCCTCTAGCCCTATTTCCCCTATGGAAATCCTCCGCGTCTCAGCCCAAGCCAGACCCTGACCGAGCTGGGCTCTGCACTGGGGTGCTGTGCCCCTGTCTCTGTCCCGTGGGATGCTTGTCCTCCATCCCCATCCCGCTCGGAGCACGGCTTTGCACGAGGTCGGAGGAGCCCGTGCCCTGTGCCGGCGTGTGTCCCCCCTCCCCCCGGGCTCCCCGTGCCGTGCGGTCCCCTCCCCACCCTGCCCCGTCCCGCTGGGTGTCAGCGAGCCGCCCCCTCTCGCACCCACCCTCCGCCCCCCGAGCGGTGCTGGTGCTGGCGGTCTGTACAAGGCGACCGCGCTCCCGCTGACGGGAGCCCTGGTGCGCTGGTGCGGGGCCGGGCGGGCAGCCCTGCCCTCCTGGGGTGACGACAAAGTGCTGGTTTTCCCGCCCCGGGCGGGCATGCTTGTCCCGGGCACCCTGGGGCGGGCGCCTGTCCCTGCCGCGCTACTTGCAGACGCTGACCCACTCGGTGATGCGGCACTCCTCGCACGCCACGAAGCAGCACCAGTGGAACTTGCAGTTGCAGCGCTCGCTGCGCGTCTGCCGCAGGATGTTGTGCCCGCGGCCGCAGCACAGGCTCTCGCAGTTGTCCATGCCCGGGCTGGTCTTGTTGCAGAGGCGCCCCTGCGTGCCCAGCGAGTCCAGCGCCGGCTCCCGCTCGCAGAAGTCGGGCGACTTCTCGAAGTAGACGAGCTCGCTGATGCCAGCGCGGCGGCGGTGCCGAGCGTGGCCTGGCTCCAGCTGCCCCGCGTTGCGGTTGTGGGGCCGGATGAGGGTGGCCCCGTAGAAGCGGTCCTTGAGCAGGGAGCCCACAAGGCGGAACTCGGGCGTCACCTGCCAGCAGGTCTTCAGCTGGCAGCTCCCCGACGTGCCGTGGCATTTGCACTTCCTCCGCATGTTGTCCATCACCACCTACAAGGGCAGGTGAGGCGTTAGCATGGGGGAAACAGTGCCCAGGGGCCACCCGCGTGGTCCTGAACCCCCACCCTTCCTTCCATGTATTTGGCTGCCTGCACACAGCCCCTCTTGCATCCTCAGCAGCCCCATCTCTTGCTCCCTTGCCCTGTCCAGGCAGGCCCCAATCACCCTGCACTGTCACAGAGTTTCTGTGTGCTGGTTTGCAGCCCAAGGGATGATCTATTTTCCCTGTCTCAGGGCTTTCCAACAGTGACTGGTGCAGGCAGCTCTGCTCGCAGCTTGGCTTTTGGCTTTTGCCTGTTTTCACGAGCAAGCCTCGGGCACAGAGCCAGGGGGCTGAATTGCTGTCTGCTGCCATCACGCTGGGAGCTGAACTTCAAACAGGGACCAGAGATGCTCACAGCCTGGATTTGTGGTTTCGGGAGGCCGCGGCAAGGCCATTGCCACACGTCCATCCTCTGCAAGGGGGCAGCACACACTACTGACCGCGGCTGCGGTTTGCATTGGTCAGGGAGTGTGGTTTGCACAGGCACAAGCGGTCAGCACGTGGGCAAGCAGGACCGCCAGGCAGGTGGCCATGGCAAGGAGGCTAAGGAGGAGGGGACGGGCGCACCAGCAAGGTGTGCAGCCAGAGCAGGCACTGAAGGGTTGGGTGGCGAGCAGAGCTGCGTCTGGCTCATGGGCATTTGCTCGTGCGGCTCCATGCACCTGAGCTGGCCCTTCCCTCCACTCAGCTTCTCCCAGCTGGATGTGCGGCTGCCACGCTGGGGAGTCCCAGCACGCACACGTTGTGGGGTGGACAAAGTGGCTCCCACGTACTGGTAGCCAAGGGTGCTGCCTTGGCCGTGCCCAGGGGTACAGCACTCTCCAGGGGTGCAGAGCGGCTGCATGTCCACGTGTGGCCTTGGAGGCAGCTGCCCTCTGCTCTGTCCCTGCATGGGGACATGCATCCCTGCCTTGGGCACTGTGAGGCCTCCTTCAAAGCTGCCCCAGGGAGCAGCAACAAGGAGAGCAGGGCTGTCCCTGACCTCCCCCTCAGCACCCCTTCGCCCAGCAGTAACGACGTAATAAGGAAAATTAGCCCCAAATTACAGAGTGAGAATAGATTTAAGGCAGCAGGCCCTTTGAAGCACTTTGCCACCAGCTTTGTGGTGGTTGGGAGACAATTTCCTGCCTGGGCCCAGCCTCCATGAGCAGGGACAGGGCTTCTCTGCTGGGTCTTGCACCCTCCCCGCAGCCCCCTTGGGCTGCCAGTGGGGCTAAGCTAAGCCATGGCAGAGCAATCCCCGCTCTCAGCAGCTGATGCCCCCGGGGCCACCCGTGGAGTTTGGGGGTAGCCTGGGGCACCCACAGCCCCCCGCGATGGCAGTCATGCCCAGGTGCCCGGCTTTGTGCCTGGCACTTGCTGCCTGCCCTCCCCAAGGCAAACGCACATGTGCAAGGAGTGCCTTGTTTTGGTAGGGGTGGGTATTTTTTTTTCTGCTTGTTTTCTTGTTTTTGAGTAAATCTCGCCGTTGCTAAGCAGTTATGTTAATGAAGGCAGGCCAGGAAAACACGCCTGGAGCTCGGGGCACATGGTGGAGAGGTCTGGGCTGGGCCGGAGTTGGCTTTCGTCCCGCTGAGAGTCCTGTCTCCCGCTGGGAACAGCCTCCACCGTGCAGGTAATGAGCTGCCCGTCCTCTCCGCCGTGCCCTGGGTGTGCCAGCAGGGAACAGCAGTGCCCGCAGTCCACGGGAACACACTCACACCAGGATCCCGTCCCTTCCCGGCTCCCCTCCCTGCTCCAGGGCTACCAAACTGATGGGGAAGATGCCTATGGCACTACCCAGAGGGCTGTGGCTGGGGTCATGCTGGGTGGGATGGAGAGGACCATAGTGACCATAGTGTGACAGTCGGTGGTTCAGTCGATGCTACGGATGATCCCCCAGATGGCCAGAGAGGGTGACATGTGCCCGCTGGCCTCATCACCTGGCCCAGACTGTGCCAACCCTTTCCCATGGGCATCCTAAGCGCTGCAGGGCCAGCTCACTCTCCCTCCTGGGGCCAAGAGAGCCCAGGTCACTCCTGCTGCACGGCATGACCCCCAGCCAGCGCGGGGTCCCACTGCCAGCCCAACACGGCGCCCCAGGCAGGCCAGGAGTCATGGATCCTATGGCACGGGGAGAACCAGGCTGAACTCTGCCTGGTGCCTTTGCAACGGGCTCCTCCGCTCACCCCTACCCGGCCACGTCCTTCCCGTCTCACACACACCGGCTTCGGCACATGCCCGGACTCGCTGGTGCTTTCCTTCACACATTCCCAGCTCCTCCCAGACACGCTCATAAGCGCTTTATCGGAGGCCTTTGTTGTGAGGGTAATGGGTAGTTCCAGCTCCCTTTCATCCTCGCTGCTCTGATCTGCCTGGCTAGGAGGACCTGCAGAGCCTCATGCACTCTCGCCACCTCGTCAGGGCTCAGACCAGCTGCTTCCTCCCCATGGGGCTCAGGATGGCAGCAAGGGCTCCTTGGAGTGCCAAGACATCCTCCCGGTGGGGCATGTCCTGTCCTGGTGCATCAGCGGCCACTTCAAAGCCTCGCACAGGACTTATCAATGCTGGCTGCCGCCAGCTCGCCTGGGACTGTGGCACCTTGTCCACTACAGCCTGGCAAACTCCCTCCCTGAGTCCATGTGGAATGCATTCGGCAGAGCTGGAGGCCAGCTACATGTTCAGAGCAGGGCTCGGACGGGACACGGCTCCGGGCATCCCTGCTGGCAGCGCTAGGCTACGTCGCTGTCCCTCAGCACCAGGATAGATGCTAGAGCAGCCGGGCTGAGCGGAGCCGCAGGGGAAAGCCCTGTCCGACTGTCTAACTGCTCCTTATGATACAAATAAAAGCTCCAACCTGAATCCAGCTCTGCTCTGGTGATGGAAATCCTTCCTCACTCCCTGGGTCGACCCCACCAGTCATGGGGAGCGTTAGGTCATTTGTGTCATGAGGAAGAGCAGATACCTCATGTCCTTACCCTGGTTCCTGGTGCTCACCCTGTTCCTTGCTGTGGCTTCTCCACCTTCATCTCCTGCAACCTTTGGCTGCCAGCAGAGCAGGCAATGGCCGGTGTGGGGCAGGGGTGGGCACTGGGGGGTTAAGTCTCGCAAACCGCTCCTATTTCCCTAGTGCTGTGACTTAATATCAGAGGCTGGCATCGCAGCAGGGAGGTTGCCCTACATGGGGTGGGCAGCAGAGGAGGGAAAATCTGGTTTGCCCCATGCCCAGCAGTGGCTGGGGAGACCAGCGGGAGGGTGCTCGGCATTGCACACAGCCCCCGAGCCCCTGGCCCAGGTCTGCGGCAGGATGCGGTGCTTTAAAAGGGAACAGCCGTGTGTTTCTGCCTGGTTTCGAACCAGGGACCTTCCGCGTGTCAGGCGAACGTGATAACCACTACACTACAGAAACCCACGTCCCCTGCTTTCCACGAGCAGCCACTTGCCGCTTTGTCTGCAAAGGTGACATCAGGTCCTCTCCTCTCTCTCTCTTTACATCCTTTAAACCCTCAGTCTAACTCCTGTCTCTGAAGCCACCAAGAGCCAATAATGCCACTGCTGGTCCCATGTCACCTCCTTCTTGCATTCGGGCATGAGCAAACCCCATGCACTTTTGCTGTTGCTAGATCTCAAAGGAGGTAGTCGGTGACCTCCCCTCCGCACAGACCTGGCTCTCCCCATCTTCTCCTTCTGCAGGAGTCTGTTTTCCCTTAGGAAACAGGAACACAGGTCCCAGATCCCTGAGCTCATGGCAGCTCAGGGCACACAGAGCTGGAGAGGGACTGGAACAAGCCCTGTGGCCAGATGTGGGATGGGGGTCCCATGTGGCTTGGGACAGAGTAGCCTGGGCAGCATTTAGCTGTCTAATGCTAAGCCATGTGCAAACAAATACAGCAAAGTAAGCAAAAAACCTTGGCTTTTCCCAGGTATTCACAGCTGGGCCAAGCCGAGACAGCCTTTGGGGCAGTAAAGCCCAGCTTCAGCACAAGGCAATAGCACACATCAACCCCCTGCTCCACAGCGTCCCCAGCTCACCATTTTAAGCACGCTCAGAGCAAGAGGAACATCCAGATGTCTGAGCTGTCCCAGGGAAACACTCCCCATGCAATTCTGACCTTTAATTACTCATTCCTGTGGCCCGTGACATGTCCACCCCAAAGGTCAAAATCTGGCAAACTGTAAACAACCAAAAGCGGGGTTTTAAATAGGAAACACTAAGCAAGCCCAAGGCTTGGGGTGTATCGGCACCCCAAAGGCTGGCGCTCGGCACGGCAAGGTGAGGAGGAGCGAGCACAGGCTCAAGCATTGGCTCCTTTCTGCTGCCAGGCAGCAAGCGGCAGCGCCAGGCTGAATGTGCCATGCGGGGAAACTGGACTGGGCAAGGCTGGCTGAGGGCTGGCTGCGAGAGCGGAGTGCTGTGAGTGCCAGCGGCTGCCTTGGGAGGAAGCAAAACTCCCGGCTGTTGCTGTCGAGAGACTGGGATTAATGAGTCAAATGTGCCTTGCAAAAGCAACAGAGCTTGCGGCAGCCCTGGCTCCGCAGGGAAATGCTCCTGGAGAACCAGGGCCGTGCCAGGCTCAACAAGGGCAGCTAGGTGGCACGATCTGGGGCACCGTGTAGCTCTCAGTGCTGCTGGGCCCAGAGCCCAGCTGGGCTGCCAGGACTCGGGGATCTGCTCTGCTTTGAGGCCAGCACCTCTCTCTAGCTGGGGCATGGCCAGCACCTTCAAGAAAGCAGCACCTTTGCTCTGCCCCGTCTCATGATGCAGAGGAGACGGGAAAGTGAGCAAAGCAGATGTGTGTCTGGTTTGGGGCTGTTGGATACCACTGCCCAAGCTCAGGGGCCCCCCTCTGTTGTGCAGACAGCCCGTGGACCATGTGTATCCACCTCCCACCTCCTTGTGCTGGCCTAGCTGTGTGTGACAGGGGACAAATATCACATTGGATCCATGAGGCTCAGTCAATCCTGTACACAGCAGTGGAGCAGGTCTCCCCAGCACCTGCCCTGGCAGAGCAGGGCAGGGAAATGCAGCCGTCCTGCCTGCGTGCTGGTCATCTCCACTGTCAGGCTGCTTTCAACCATGAGTTTCCAAGCAGAGAGCTCCTGATTAGCAACTCTAACAAGACCTGCTACCATAAGGATGGAGGACAGGATGCTCCCCTTGGCTTGGCAGGTTCCAGCTCCATCATGGGGCTGGGAGGTGAGGGTGGCAGTGGCTCCAGTGGCATCAGCGCGCTCTGTCTCCAGAGGCAAGGCTTCAGTTGGGTGCCGGGAGCCCACACTGTGCCCACTCGTGGAGCCAGGGCAGTTCAGCAGCTTCCCTGTCAAGCAGCATCAGAGCCACTCCTCCCCATCCACAAAGAGTGTGGCTGTGCCCCAGAGTCCATCCAGAGGAGACACCATCCCTAGGTGCTGAGGGACCTGCTGCCTCCTGAATGGCCAGAGCTGGATTTATTGCGATACCATCCCCGCAGGCATCCACAGCCAGGCTCACTGCAGCAAGCTCCTTCGCCTTGCGCTGATGCTGGGCTCCCGGGATCAGGGAAGAGGGGAAGATGATCCAGTCATGTCCCAGGCACAGAGACACTGCCCATGTCGCAATTGCCCCACACCACCCTGCCCAGCGCCCTGCACTGCTCACCTGACGGCCCACACGGTTGTTGTGCAGCCTCATGCGCGAGTGGATGTCCCTGTAGGTTTCCCGGGAATCGAGGAAGTCCTTGGAAAACTTCTCCCCATAGTCCACATCGGGGCTGCAGCCTCCCCACTCCCAGGAGTCCTGGAGGCCGGGGGTCTCGGCGGGCATGTGCTCCATGTGCACCCCGTGCACCATGCCTTTGCCTCGGTTCATGGCCTCCAGCTGCAGCCGGTGCAGCTTGCGACGAAAGGCCTCCTCATCGCCGCGGCGCTTCTGGTCGCAGCCGCACGCCTGCAGCTTGCCGAGGGCGCAGGCGTTGGAGACGGCGTGCACCACGCCGGCGGCGGCAATGGCGTACGCGAAGGCGCTCTCACGGAAGCCTGCAAGGAAGCAGAGACGGGACTCAGGCCCTGCCAGGCAGCAGCCAAGCAGCCCCAGCACTGTGCTGGGTGCAGGGAGACTCTGGTCAGGGAGAGAGCACGAGGTCCTGTTTGTGCCCTGCTGGACCAGGAGTGAATCCATATGCGGTGCCTGCTCCCCCTCCTGCCCCCAGCCACCTTTTCCCCGGACACTTTGTCTCAATCCCAGCTCTGCTGTCTCCGGATGCATCAGAGATCCCCAGGCCAGCACGCAGCATCTCGCTGCTCCCAGCATCACCTTGCAGAGACAGCACCACTACCGAGCTCAGGCCCCTGGTGGGAGCATTACAGATCTGATGGGGTGGGCTCCTCCCCACTCAGAGATTCCCACTGTATTAAAAAAAATCCCTGGATGAGGAACAGCACTGCAGTGCAAAGCCATTCCTGAGCCCTCTGCAGCCCTGGGAAGCACGGGGAGGTCAGGTCTCCAGCAACCAGACCTGAAGCAACACGGTCTGTGGGGGCAGGTGTCTGCCCGGGCTGCAGCAGGATCCTGCAGGGCAGGATTTCCATCCCTGCTGCCTCCCAGACGGGGGTAGCCTTGCTCCCCATCTGCCTAGGTCCCCCAGCTCCACAGCACCAGCCCTGGGGACACCAGCCAAGCTGGCGCTGATGCTACCGGGCTGTGCCCATGCGGCACGTGTCCGTCCCAGTCCCGTCCGCCGGCTCCGCTCGGCTGCAGGGCGCAGGACCAGGCAAGGAAAGGGGTTGTGCAGCAGTGCCTGCCCTTCCGCATCCACCCGCTCGTGGCCCCCTCGCTCCCTGCTGGCTGTCCCCAGGCCTTGAAACATCTTGTAAATGTGATACTGGGCTGGAAAAACTGAGCATCCCTGCTTTGCTAGAGTGTGGCGCGACCGCACCGTGCACTGCCAGCGCCGGCAGCTGGTTGTCGTTAAACACCAGGGAGCAGCAACAGTGTCATTAGCTCTGGATGGGCTGGAAGGGGATAGGGACGACTCCCTGTAGTGGGGCCGGGGCTGCATGGGGCACTGCCAAGAGCAGGGGCTGCTCGGGGCCCCTCACTGCTGCCAAGGCAAGGAGAGGGCATCCCCTACCTGGGAGCCTCCTCTTTTTTGAACAGAAACTAATATTTTCCTTCCCGCTGTTGTCAGGGCAGGCAGGAAAACCGCGGCGCGCCTCGCTCCGCTGCACAGACAAATCGCCGGGGAGGAGGCAGCGCTGGCTTTGCGGCCGCCGCTTCACACGTGAATAAATAAATAGAGCGAGCAGCAAGTCTCCCTCCCTCCTTCCCCGGCCAAGAGCAGCCTTCGCTTCACCGCGGCCCAGCGGAGCAGGGGCTTGGGGCATTTTCCCCCGTGCTGGAGTTTTGCAATGGTAAACGGGGGCTGGGGTAGCCCCCTGATGCCCCCACTCCGGCCTGTGTCACACGAGATGCAAGCACTCGCTTGCCACAAGCAGCACAGCAAGCACGCAGGCCTCCTCAGTGCTTCCTTGCCGCCTGCTGAGCAAACGCAATGATCTTATTAAAGGGAAATGAAACGCATCTTGGGAACCTGCATTTAAAGTCCTGCTGCTCTTTTGTGTGCTAATTTGACACCGGTGCATTTAAAAAATTAACGAGGCGCTGCTTAAAAGCAGCCGGGAGCCTCTCCCAGCTTCCCCTCGGTGGCGGGCAAGCTTGCTCGGAGCTGGGCTCCGTGCGGGCACAAGTCGAACAGCATTTTTCACAGGGCAGGTAATGGGGCTGCTGGGACAGCACATCTACCCGGCTGCGCGGGATGCGGCGGCTGCACAACGCTCACCCCGGCATGAACTGGGGCCGCTTCAGCCCCAGCGAGGCTGTGGGATGGAGAAGGGGCACGGTGAGGTCCTCAGCACCCCCAGTTTTGCCTGCTGCCCCATCAGCTCTCCTGGGCTCCCCCTGCACATCGTGAGCAGAGGTGGCTTCCAACTCCCTGACGTCCCCCAGCCTCTGGATGGTGTTCACACAGCCACGCTCAGCACCTCCACAGCTGTGGGCCACACTCTTTGCATGGCTGCTGTCCGGGAACAGCAGGGGCCACCCCTCCGCCTGGCACAATGCTCTCCTCTGCAGCCCTGCCTTCCCGTTAGCCTCTTTCTCACGCACTTCTCCAGCCTAACTAACATTTTCCCATGCGGCATCTCCTTAAAATCCCTTTGGGAGCCCAGACAGAAGCTCTACCCCACCCACTCTGTCTCGCTCGCCCGCCTCTTTGCGGGTAACACAGCCGGCTCCATTTGGGGCCCTTCAGAGCTGGGAAATCCTTGGGGTCAGTCCCTGTGCTCCTCCTTCCTTAGCTGCTCTCCAGCCATGCAGCAACCAGCAGCCACGACCAGCCCTTGTCCCTGGAGCTGCCATCCCCCATGCAGCAGGCAGGGGACGGGTTGGTCCCCTGAGATGTGACCTCTCCCAGTGCTGGAAGTCTTGTCCCATCTCCGTATGGTCATTTCCCAGCACAGATCCTGCTGAGCATCACCTCCTAGCGTGACACGGCTCTGCTTGGGGACGGTACCTCTGCACCTGGTCTCACTGATCTCCTCCCTTCTGCCGCAGTTCCATGGAGCTCACATGAGCCCAGCCGCCCCGTGGGGCTGCAGCAGTGATGCTGCCCTGTTGCTGCTTCGAGGTTCAGGCTACAGTCCTCGCTCTCCCTGGGCCATGGCAGAGCCCAGAGGATTGCAGTGCTGGGGTGAGCAACCCCGCTGGCCTCACAGTCTTGGTGAGGTGGGAGCCTCCAGGAACCACAGAGGAGCCTTTGGAGGGAGGCTCTCCACTTGCTTCAGCCACCTAAGACCTCAGCGGTGACATACGAATCACCGGATCTCTCCAGAGACCACAGAGGATGCTATAGCCACGGGATGGGCGAGGAGGAGGGTTGTGGGAAGCAAAGCATCTTGCCAGGAAGAGGGAAAGGAGGACAACAGCCCCAACCCCACTGCCTGGATCTGCTTGTCCTGTGCTGATGACTGAGCCAGACATTCACCCAAGGGACTTTATGGCCCTTTATGGGCCTGAAATCTTGGATCCAGGGCCAATTCCAAAGCAGCTGTTTCAGCAAGGCAAAATATCTATTGTGGAGGCACCTGCTGCTCTGTAGGCAACACTCATTTGGGAGACGGGGGTTATTTAGCAGAACCACAAGATCAGCTTGGCCCTGCTTCTCCCATGGACGTTGCAGTGCCCTCATTGCTTGTGCCTGGTCGGGCCCCATTACATGTGGGCCCAAGGGAGCAGCCTGTGCTCAGGTGCTGGTGGGGACCCCAGCTTTGCCAGGACACCAAGAGCTGCAAGCTGTGCACAGCAAAGCACATCCTCAGAGCAACGCAGAGCCCCTGCCCGCTAGGAGGGAGGCGACTGCCCAGGGCTGGTGCCCACGTGCCCTTCCCAGCTGCAGCCGCCCAGACTGCAGCCCCTTCCCGGCCATCCCATGAGCTTCCCCACGGAGCTCACGCTGGCACATGGACTGCCACGCTGCCCATGCAGCCTCACCCCAGCACGGGGTGCCCTGGGGCCTCCAGCGTGTACAGCCGCCCCCGTGACGCTGGGGATGGCCACGGGGAGCCCGGCACGTGGGCACGCGGCAGCCCCGCGCCCGGCCCCGCTGGCTGCCGAGGCGGAGGCGCTGCTCCAGCGGCCAGCACAGGCAGCCAGCCCCAACACGCTGCCTCTCCCCCGGCCCGCTCCTGCCCTCCCCTCTCCCTAATTAAACTGCAGGTGAACCTGCCAGGGTCTGGCCCGGCGCCAGGCGCTAAACGGCTCTCTGCAGATCGCGACTTGCCTCCCTGCACCTCCCGAGTGTGTATCGGGGACAGCCTGGAGCACTCGCTCCGAGCACGCGGCTCCGCATCCGCCCACGGCGCTAGGAGCTGGAGCTGCGCTGCAGGCTGCAGGCAGCCTGGCTCGCCCCCGTGTCTCCACCAGGTCGCCTTGTCCCTTCGGCCCCACTGGTGCCCATGGGCTGGGGGGGAGTCCAGGGGGTGCAGGTGCCCCTGGGGATGCAGCTGGATGCCTGGCAGGCTCCTCTGCAGCACCTGCATGCGCGTTGGGGCCAGGTGGGCTAAGCCTGCAGCTTGCCCAAGGATGCCAAAACCCCTACCAGGAGCCCAGCTGCGGCCGCACAGGCGCTGCAGTCTGCGGGTGCTGCTGCTTGGCTGGGATGCTGCACAACCAGGCACCAGGGTCTCACTCTCTGGGTAGCCCTAACGCCTGCCTTTCTGGTCATGCACAGCAGAGCCTGCCCTCGCTTCTGGCTCCTGGCTGGCAGGGCCCCAGGGCCCAGCTTTTCTCAGCATTTTGGGGAGTTCCCCCCTTTCTTGCCTTAAGAACTTGAGGTTTGGCAACAGCCACACAGGCCCCTGGCCCCAGGGAGCCCTTCTAAGGAGGAAGAGCCTGCAAACCTCATTCATCCTGCCGAAGGTGCTGGAGCAACTAGAGGCATCCTGCATGGAGTCGTCTCCCCTCCAGCCCCTCTGTCTTTGGAGCCTCCAAGGCAGCCCTGTCATTTAGTCAAGATTCCATTTCTTTCACATAAGAGACGGGGATGGGATTGGGATGAGCAAGTGGTAATGCTCTGGGCATCTCCACATCTCCAGCAGCCTCTGCCTGGCTGCAGGACAGTCCCAGTCCTACTGGACCCAGCGCAGTGAGCGTTGGCACTAGATGCACAAGCAGGGCCATGACAAGGACCCGTGACCCACTGTCACCCACCTATTTTTTTGGCACACTCCTGGCAAAATTCAGTCCAGTCAAACCAGGGTGCCCAGCTGCCCCAGGAGGCTCAGGGGAGCAGGGGCACATACCAGGGGCTGCTCCTGCTCCTGACAGGCGGTTTGGATGCAGCCACCTTCTCTGGGGTGGCGGCATGTTTAGCTGTGAGGATGCATCCATGCTGCTTGCACTTGCAGCCAGAGAAAGGGCCCGGTCTCGAGTACTTGTGCAGATGCAGCCACTTGCATCCATCTCTCTGCCTGATCCTACATCAGCCCTGTGGCCAAGGAGATGACATTTCTGCTGGTCAGGCCACCATGTAGAGGGAGTGAGAGGAACTGAGGGGATGGAGGGGACAGTTTCAGGGAATGATGAGAAGAGAGGCAGCTGGCCAGAGAGCTGAGAAGGCTGCAAGGAGGATTTGCAATGGCAGAACTGAACCTGAGTGCACACGAAGGAGACGAGTGCCAAGAAGGACAGCGGGTAAGGATGGTTCTGGAGGCTCAACAGGGAGTCAAGAGAGCCTCTCACACTCCCGTGAGTGCAGCATCGGAAGGCTGACACTACTCACCCACAAATTCCTGGGTGAGTCACAGGAATCGGGGCTCTGCTTGGGAGCGCAGGGGTGCTAAGGCCCTGGGCAGTGTCGCTGCTCTCCCACCGCTCACCTGTTGAGCAGTGCTGCCTTGCAGCCATTCCAGGTACTGTCAGCATCCTTTCCCCTCCAAGTTGCTCTTCCCCAAAGCTCCCCTCCAGATTCCCACTCCTGCCTGATTTGAAGCCTCATAGCTGCTTTCTAGCTGCTCAAGGCTTGCACTTAAACTTACTGGGACCAGCTCAGTGGGGCAGGGAGATGGAGACTCATTTGCCACTGTAATTTGCCCTGCCTCTCAGGTTCAATCAGTTGCCGTGGCTGGTCCCTCAGGCTCTGCCATGTGTTGGGTTGCTGGGCAGAGCTGTGGCTGGTGGCCGGCAGGGCCGGAGCTCACCACCTCTGCTGGGGAGGATGCACGAGATGCAGGAGGACAGGAGCAGAGAGAAGCGGGAGGGAGAAATCAGCTACAAATAATTTAAAGTGAGATTCACGCACGGCTGAACTGATGGCAGAAGAAGTGGGAAAAGGAATGAAAGATTAAAGGGCTCTGTCACTTCAGGTTACAAACAATGATCCTACGAGCACATTGCGTTCCCAGGCACGGCAAGGATGGGGCAAGGTGCGGAGCAGGGACCTGGTCCCCCGGGGTCGGATGCACTAATGCCTGCAGCCTGCATCCCTCACTTCCCCCGCTTCCCTCTCCTCCTGGCTCTGGGGCTCAGGAGATGCGCCCAGCATCCCTGCTCTCACAGCTGGGCTGCTCTTCTGTGTCCGTGACAGCTGCAAGGTGGTGCTCACAGCGCCAGCTCCCTTATTGGGAGGCACAGGAGGGGACGAGCTAGGTCACCAGCCCAGGGACCTGCTCGGCGCTGAAACAGCTTTGAGCATCTGCATAGGACGACCTGGATGCCCGGGACTCATCCCACATCCTTTGGCCCTGAAAAGAGGAGGACTATGAGGTGCCTGTCTGCTCTGCTGCTCCATCCCTACTTCCATCTGTGCCCCGTGCTGGGCCCTGGACTCCAGCACAGTTGGCCAGGTTTGGCCAGGAGGTTGGATGCCACCAGTGCTGGACACCTGAGCTGAGCTGTGCCCACAAGCTCCCCCAGAACTGGTATGTGGGGCTGCCCCAGGCACCCCAGCACCACTCCTCCCTGCCACCACAAAAACCCCGTGCAGGGGGACTGCACCCATCTGTCATCGCCCTGACAGCTGGCAAGGAGAGATGTGGACCACAAGGGTAGATGGGCTGGATATGACCCTTTTTCAGGCGGACCTGTGAGAGATGCAAAAAGCCAGTGCTGGAACATAGCAAGGGCAGCAGTGAGAGCATCAGTACTGCCCTGCCTTCTCTGGCAGCTACCACACGAGTGTTGTGCTTTGCACGCTCCTGTCCCCTGCCCAGCTCCCTTGTCCTGCACCCTGCTGGGCATCAGCAGACCCTTCCTCACCTGTAAGCTTTTTCTTTCCTCTCATTACCACTCCCAGTCATCATTCAATTCCTTCTCCTCAAACCAGGAGATCATCCCAAAGATGGGACAGGACAGCTGGGACCAGCTGTCACTGCAGGGAGTGACATTCCCATGGAGATGGGAGCTGACTTTAGCAAATACCCCAATAATCAGCCATCATGGGAGGTGGAGGGATGTTCTTGCCCCCATGAATGGAGCAATTGCTTCACACATGTTGGCCAAGGCTCCACCAGCTCTGCAACACATGGTGATGGGCTGGGGGAGCCTCCCTGGGTTTGGAGATGGAGCAGAGGCTGTGCAGGGCTTTGGGGAAGCCACCACCCCATAGTGCCCTGTGCTCTGTTGTGTCCTGGTGCTGCGGCCCATGAGGGTACCTACTGCCCAGCCACTGACTTCCCCACTGCTCGCTGCACTGCCACGTTGCTGATGGAGCTTCTCTGACACCCTGGTGGGACCCACGCTGCTGAAGGGAGCAGGGAGGGTAGCCTGGGTGTGTTAGCAACGCGAGCCAGCGAGCTGGTGTCTCCCGCTGCCTGAGGAGACTAGAATTGAACCGCATTCCTAAGAGGACCTGCAACTACCGCGATGCTTATCAGGGCTGACGGTCCCCACCCTCCCTGCCAGGCCCTAACCTCCACGCAGTGCGTGGAGGGAAGAGATGCTGCTTTTCTCGATGCACCAGTGCATTGACAGGCTCTACGTTGAGGGGGATGTGGCTAATCCACAGCGAGGTCCTCAGCCCTCACACTGCATCTGCTCCAAGGAAATGGCCTCTCCAGGAAAATATGGCCCATGGGTCCCAGACCCAGGACCTACAGGCACTGAAGCTCTGCTCCCCTCCGCAGCCATCTCCCCACCAGCCCCATCTGCCACAGCTCTCTGGGGGCTTGTGCCAGTGCATCGCCCTCAAAGACATTTAAGCCTCAAACTGCCAAAATGAAGATCTTGAGATCTGTATCCCCTCACTCCCCAAAGACACTCCGCAGCTTGGAGATGAGGTTGAAAGATGCAGCAGGGAGTTTCAGGGACAGGGCGACAGAGTCGCACCTTGCTACTTTATCTCCCCAAGGGAGCAAATGAGCAGAGTCTTTGGGAGTTTTCTCCCTTCTCAGAAGCTGGAGGAACAAGTTGTTTGCAGGACACTTGCCTGCCTTCAGCACCCTGACAGGCTGGCACTGCCACCACCTTGGCCTCACAGATGAGGCGCATGGGTGGTTTGGCGTGTACCAAGGCCAGGCTTCATGCGGAGTGTTTAGGTGAGAAGGCCTACAAGTAGGATGAGGTCCTACAGAAGGTCCATTGGGTCATAACTCCTGTAGGACCCTGACATTTCCCATGCAGAGCAGACCTTCTGCATCCACGGAGTCCAGATCATGAACATGGGGTCTACAGGGAGGTGCTGACATATCCAGAGCTAGCCATGCCTGCAAGGAAAGAGGCAAATATGGCACCTGGGTCTGGCAAACCATGGAGACAGCCAGGGCAATGCACTGGGCAGGAGACCTCTCCCAGCTGCACAGGCTTTGGGGTGTGCAGACACATGAGGCTCCAGCACAGCCCATCCCTGTGCCCCCCAGGTCACTGTGCCACCATGCTCCAGGGTTCCAGCTTTCCCCAAATCAGCCTCAGCTCTCTGCACTGAGGACACAGCATAAGGGCAGGACACCAGGGTGATCTGGTTTACAGATCTACGTCCCACTAGACACAAGACATGAATGAGCCAGGAAGCTCACCATATCCAATAAATCTAATCCCAAGATGGCAGCATCTGCCTTCAGATTCTACAATTGTGTCACACGTCCTCCCCTAAGACTCTCAATGACATCAGCCTACCTGAGATGGAGGAAGATGCTGGAAAGCAGCAGAGTTTGGAAACAATTGGGGACACAGCTGAGGCCAGGCATGGAGGAACAGCTCAGAACAAGAGCAAGAGTAGGTACAAAGGCTCATGGAGAAGAGCCCAGCTGTGCTCCAGCACACTGTGGCAGAGTAGCTACTTGCTCTGAGAGACCCAAAGCCTCTCAAGCTCTGGCTCACTGTCTCCCTTCACCTAGGGCGATGCTGAAGATGTGGTCTGGTCCTATAAACCAGGGAAGAACCACAGAGAGTGAAAGCTGAGTAGAGGAAGAGGAAGGAGGCTGACTGGCCCTTACCTCTACTGAAGATGATGCTCTCGTAGGGGATCTTGTTCTTGGTCTCGAGGCTGGAGCAGTTCCAGCGCTGGTCCCTGAACTGGTGCTGGCACTCGTGGATGGCAATCTGGATGCCCTGGATGGCTGAAGCCGTGACGTCGGGGTGGCGCACGCACACCTCCAGCTGCCGCCGGGTCAGCCCGGGCAGCGTCAGGCACACGGTGTTGGCGTTCAGCACCGGCTCTGACGGCAGTTTCAGGCCCAAGATTTCATTGGAGCAGGAGCTGGGAGGGAAAGGGAAGCCCGTGAGCATGGAGCCAGCAAAGTGCTGACCACTGCTCAGCACTGCACCAGCAGCCAGGGAGCCTGGGTCCTGCGGTGGCAAAATCTGTCCCTCTGGCCTCCAGAGCCCAGTGTCTCCCAGGGCTGCACCCCTCCATGTGCCCTTCAGGAGCTCTCCAGCCCTGGCCACAGTCTCACACAGCCTACCCTAGTTCACTGCACAGACAGCAGGGGTTTCTCCCTGGGCTTCCCCTGCCATAGGGACCCTGGAGCAAGAGACCACCCCAGATGTGGCTCCATTCCTACCGATGGATGCAGGCTCCATCCCTGCCTATCCTACCTCTTCTTGTCACTGCAGGACAAGGGATGTGAACAAACAGCCCACCCTTTGCCTGGAAATTAGGAGCTGAGCACCCTGCTGAGCACTTTTCTGTCACAGGCTCCCAGTGCTATGCTCAACTAGTAATGACACAAAGCCTTGTCCACCCTCGCAACACAGATGCGCGGGACCTGATGTCTGTCACCACAGAGAACAGAAGACACCAAGATGGGTGCAAGAGAGGCACGAGGGCAGGACAGGGTCAAAGGAGGTGATGCAGTTTATACGGTTGATATGCTGACCAGGGATAGCAGGAGGTGGATGTGGTGTGGGGAGGATAAATTACACCCAGAGAGAGGTGTCTGGAGAGGAGACAGAGGCGCACATAGGACAAATGGGTGTGGGGAGGGAGATGGGTAAGGAGACAGAGCCTTCGCAAATCCAGGAGACTGAGGCATGGCTTCAAGGACCACTGGAACCACAGCATCCAAACAGAGGACCTACAAACCAAGCATCGGACAGCAGGATGCGGAGGAGCTTGCAGCAGAGTCCATGAGGAGCTCAGCACAACTGCCCTCCTTGCTCAGGACTGCTCAGTGTCTGCTGAAAACTCTCTCCAGGCAGGATTCCCTCTTCCCTGTGCCGGCTAGGGGTTGGGTTCCTGGGAGGAGCAGGCACTGGAGCGCTTTGAACCTTGATCACAGAAATGAGACTTGGAGGAGGATGCTACAGGAGGAATTGCAGCTGCCTTATGGAGCAGCCAGGCCTTGGGAGGAAGGCTTTCTCCCTCTCGGCTCCCCCAGGTCCTGCAAACCTAGTCCAGGCACACAGACAGAGCGGCTCAGGGGCCAGGGACTGAATTCCCCAGTGCTCCCCTTGCTCTGGAGGAAAGGTTCAGCCTCAGGGTCCCTGCTGATTTATAGCTCACTTGGGGGGAAGGGGAGATTTCAGGGGCAGAGCTTTCTCCAGCTCCCCACATGTGTTTACTTCCAGAGTTCACTCATCCCATCACTTCCATGGGGTGATCTGTGGGGCTGCTCCAGAGTAAATCCAGAATGATTCTGGCAGGGAAGATCAGAGAGATGGGTGCAGAGAGGAGGAGAGTGGAAGGGAGAAGGGGAAGATTCATCCCTTGAGAGCTTCTGTACATGAGGGGAAATCTTATGCCTGGCTCCTGCTGCCATTCACACTGCCCTGATTGAGGCAAGAGGAGAAGCAGGTCCTTGCAGACCTCTCCAGCTGCCAGCATCCCCAGCCCCTCCTGCCCCAAGCACTGCAGGGACCTCATCCCTTGCCTGTCCTGAGCCAGCCGCAGTACCTGTCACCTTTACCCACCAGCTCCTAAGGCATCCTAGAGAGGGTCACATGGCCAGTCCTCCCATTGCAAAGCAGGGAAACTGAGGCAGAAGCCCCTTGCTAGGACCCCAGAGATTGGAGCACAGGTCTGCCTCCCTCTTCCTCCACCCAGGGCTCAGGAGGGCTAACGACTCACAAGGGGCTGTCACTGTCACCCTGCTAGGAGGACACAGCACTCCCCCGCCAGCTCTCTCCTCCCTTGAAATCTGGATTTAAACTTGATTTCACGGTGACAAGCCCCCAGGTCACAGGCTGCAGCGGCTGCTGCTTTAATTAATACAAGTCCCAACGTTAACAAATTATATTTAAAGGGGCTGAAGGGAGGGGGAAGGGCGGGGGACCCCCCCACACACACTAGCACCAGAGTTAACCCCTGGCTGCCTGTCATACACAAGTTTGCGCATTGGTAGCCAGAGCTCCTAGTCACCAGGTAGCCGGAGACAGAAGGAGGAGCTGAATGTTGGGGGGGCCGTTTCTGGAAGGCAGCCTGCCCCCTGCTCCCCCTCGGCATAGGCAGAGCTGAGGAAGGGACCCAGGGACTCTGCTACTCCAGTGCGGGGTCCCTGTGGTGCCAAACCCAGTGGCACTGAGCCCGGGACACCCATCCCGGGACACTTGTCCGCATGACAGGCGCCGTCAGTGCGTTCCGTGCTCCCCGCATCCCCTCACCCTCCGTGGCCCAAGAAGGAGCGACCCGTCCTTAGCTCAGGGCGGCAGCGGGGGAAACTGAGGCAGGCAGGGCCAGCGCCGAGACCGTTTCCCCGACGGAGGGGCCCTCCCGGCGCGGGGGT